GGGACGAACAAATATCGTCAAGCATAAGATTAGTACCGGTGAAGCTAGGCCCATCTGGCAGCCACCCAGGCGTATTCCACCTCCTTTGCAGGGAGAAGTAAACCATCTATTTAAAAAATGCTTCGAGATGAGGCTATAAAGTCATCCAAGTCACCATGGGCCTCTCCTATCGCGTTGGCAAAGAAGAATGACGGCAGGCTGCAGTTATGCATCAACTATAGGAAGTTGAATGCCGCAACCAAGATAAATGCCTTTCTTCTCTCCCACATAAATGTCTCACTTGGCTCCTTACATGAGTCGCAGTGGTTCTCCACCCTAGATTTAAATTCGGGATGTTGGCAAGTAGAGTTTGCAGGAACAGACCGAGGAACTGCAGCTTTTATATTGTCAAACGGGCTTTATGAGTTTTCGACGATGCTGTTTGAATTCTGCAACGCAGCGGCCACCTTCCAACATCTCATGCAAACAGCTCTGATCAGCCTATTCCAAAGCATTGCATTATCCATCTTGACGATCTTCTTATTTTTGGTGGAGACATTAAAGTGCACAATGCCAACCTGAAACTAGTGATGGATCGACTACGGGATGCAGGATTAACCTAGAACCCGAAGAAGTGCCGTTTCCTGCAACGCTCGGTCATCTTCCTGGGCCATAGAGTCTTGTCGAATGGGAATTTTTAAAGGAGCTCATAAGTGATCGCGCTAAGGATGGTGCCAAAAGAACGAGGTGGCTATGTAATACCCATAGTGTTTTAATGCACCTTTCAGAGAGAAGGCAAGGTTACAAATCGAATCTGGTAATAGAGTCGGCGTCTCCCAAGCCTGAGAGCGATTACGGATCCTCCTCTTGTTTTCCCGATCCACTTTCCTCTCATAAGTCGAGATCAATCTAACCTAGTTGTTCTAAGAGTAAGAGGAATGAGGTGAAGTACAAGTCTCGAGCTACATAAGTGTTGTTTAAAAAGTAGATTTTTAATAATTGCACAATAGTATGCTACTATACACTGATGAATAAATGATGCAAAATAAGACATGGTGGCATAGAAATGTGCTAATCACCTCCGACACCTCCTTCGCAGCCTTGCCTGACACTACTTTAGGGGCCATAACAACAGCAATTTCCTCTCTCTTCCCCGTCAGTGAAACGCAACACAAGTCGCCAACACCGCCATCTCCACATCTATTTAACTCTAATCCTCCCCTCACCATCACTGACAAAGTTCGCGTCACCACCAATAACACAGGCACCAGCCAATCACAATGACCAAAACTGCATCAGGCATCCTTTCATTGGCCCGAGTTTGGAGCGAGGCCGATGTGGCAACAGCCTTCTCTCTAACCCCCCCATCTGCACGTAGATGCCACCATTGCATCAGCCAATCAGCACTCTACATCCATCCACTCAAACACGTTTGATGTAATCACATTTTTACCCATCTTGCACATATTCTCTGTATGTTCAAGTGATAGAATTTTTTAGCCTTGCATAAATACACATGCAAATGCAAACACATATAGATATAAGCGTTCTAAATACATGTAAGTGAAAAACCGGAACGCATAGAAACAACAATGTACAAAAGTTGCTTTAGAACATATTTTTCTATGGGTGCACGGACGTGTACCACCATTTTTAAATAAAATAATATATTATTATGAATAAATGATGAAAACTAAGACATGGTGGCATGCTAATGTGCTAATTAATGGTTTACAAATAAACCAAAACTAACAATATTGCAGCTAACCTGCATATATATACCGAGGGAGCCATTACTAATCACCAAGTACTTAGCTAGAGGTCGAAGTGCAAGCTAGACACATTGTTGGTGTACGCGTGTGCGAATGAGTGTGCGTGAGTGGTGCATGCAGATCACGGAATTGTTGAATGTGATGTTACAGCACCAATGGCATCAACAATGTGCAACTAATTTGAGGTGAAGATAGATGAGCTTGGCTCGAATCGAAGGCAAACACGTCAAAGCCTCTTCCAGGCGAGATGCGGTCGAGTCAGATGCAGCTGTCGACGCGTGAGACAAAGAGGAAACTGTCAGAGCCAATAGCAGGCGACGATAGCGGTGACGAGCGAATGAGATGTGCAAAGTGATTAGACTTCTGCGTAGCCAATAAGCAGTGTGCCTCAGTGTGACGAGAGGTGGCTATAAGAAGGGGGCAGTGAGTCACGCGATGCTATCACGCTTGAATCGGTTGGTGGCTTGCTTAGCGAAGAGGACAATGAGCGGCAGAGGCAAAGGAGGTAAATTGCGGGCTAAAGCGAAGACGAGGTCGGCGCGAGCTGGTCTGCAATTCCCCGTGGGTCGTGTGCACCGCCTGTTGCGTCGTAGCAACTACGCGGAGCGCGTGGGTGGGTGCTAGATCATCGGTCT